AGATTTTAGAAAATTAAAACATACAGGCCAGGCGCGGTGGCTCATGCCTGTAATCCCAGCATTTTGGGAGGCTGAGGCAGGTGGACCACCTGAGGTCAGGAGTTTAAGACCAGCCTGGCCAACGTGGTGAAACCCCATCACTACTAAAAATGAAATAATTAGACAGGCATAGTGGTGGGCACCAATAATCTCAGCTACTCAGGAGGCTGAGGCAGTAGAATCACTTGAATCTGTGAGGCGGAGGTTGCAGTTAGCTGCGATCATGCCATTGCACTCCAGCCTGGGAGACAAGGCAGAAAAACTCTGTCTCAATAATTAAAAAAAAAATTAGAAAGTACAGATAAGAAAAAAGGGGAAAGTAGAAAGCACTCATAACTCAGACATGCAAAGATATTAAATATTAACATTTGAGTATATTTTCCCCTAGAATGTTTTCCCAACAAAATTTCCTTGAGAATTTTTTGTTATATCTACATGAGTATATGTGTATATATGTACCAATGTGTCTGTGTGTGTGTGTGTATATATATAAAACAGTTATTTTTAAACAGGCTTTTATATATACGTATATATTTATTCAACTGTTTCAGTCAATAAAGCATTATGAATATTTGCCTGTAATGTTACATATTTCTCTGCAAAAACTATATCATATTTCCTTATAGTGTGTTCAGTTATTTTAACATGCAACTTTAGATGGTTTTTATTTTTTCTCTTTTTTTTTTTTTTTTTTTTTTTTTTTTTNCACTCTTGTTACCCGGGCTGGAGTGCAATGGCGCGATCTCGGGTCACCGCAACCTCCGCCTCCTGGGTTCAGGCAATTCTCCTGGCTCAACCTCCTGAGTAACTGGGATTACAGGCACGTGCCACCATGCCCAGCTAATGTTTTGTATTTTTAGTAGAGACAGGGTTTCACCATGTTGACCAGGATGGTCTCGATCTCTTGACCTCGTGATCCACCCACCTCAGCCTCCCAAAATGCTGGGATTACAGGCTTGAGCCACTGCGCCCGGCTTTATTTTTTCTCTTATTAACTGACATGGTGACTCTAAAGCTAAACACGTTCATATTTACACAGTTATTTCATTATGATGAAATCCAATAAGTGACATAGTAATTTTCAGTAACGAAAGAAAAACTGAGGTAAATCATGAAAAGCACAGAGTATAGTAAGGCAGTCACCAATAAATGTTAAGAAAAGGGCATATAAGAAAAGAAGGAGTTGTTTGAAATAGACTTGCTTTAAAACCCGAAATATAAGCTTTTATTTAAGAGTATTTAGGAGTTCTTGTTTGTTTTGTAATCGTATCATGCATGTAATCATATGCATGTAAACATATCAATGTCTTCTGACCTCAGTGGGGAAAAATGTAGCATGCAGTCAGATGAAGCAGCTCAGTCAGTTTACAGAAGTCAGGTTTGGTGTTTGTTTCTGTGAGAAGGTTTTCCTCTCCAGCTATCAGAAATGATGACTAATAATCCAAAAGAAGAGCTAATCCATCTGCCTATTTTGGGAGGGTTGGAGGTGCCTTTGGATATTTGCACTGTCGTCTTTCACTTTGTTGCAGGTTTCACCTGCTGCGGGTGAGACACGTGCCATGTCCCCCAGCCTGTTGCCTCTCAAACTGGGTTTGATTGCCCAGTTGGATTCTCTTGGCAGAGCTATGTCCATGAGTGCCAGAATAGAAATATACAGATGGCACACTATCCATGGAGGAACAATTTTGACCTGCAGGAACTGTTCTGATCCACAGGCTGAAGCACATTTATGAAGACAGGATGGGCAAAAGTACCCATTTTCCACTTAGTCATTCAACCCCTTGTGGCAGTCATACTGAACATGTTGGGGTATACAGCACAATGGCGATGCCAGACAGAAGAAGCTGCAGGAGGCTAAAATTACATAGATAACATAGTAAAGAAGGTTGGGTGGAGGCTGTGCAAACTAGAGACCATGTGTTATCTTCAGGGAGGGGCAGCTGCTGCTCACCTCAGTGGATGCTGGCAATGCAAGGGCAGACCCAGCATGGCTATTCCTGTTTTCATGAGAAACTAGAAACGTGGATTTTTCATTCATATATTTTGTCTTTCATATGTTATTAGAAAATAGAGAAAACATAAGAAATAACAAAGCTTATTTGTAATGTGTGTATATACACACCACACATACACACACACATACACACACACACACATATTCCTGGGAGGAAAAAAACGGTGGAGAGACAAAAATAGAAATTTGTCTTCTTTGAGCATTTGTTATTTTGTAGATTTGACTTTGGTGTCACATACATAGCTTACAAATCTATAAAACAAAATTGTACTTTAAAAAGCAGGCATGAAAAAATGAAGGGAAAAAATGAAACAATTGAACCTCACTGAATATCATGGTAACAGCATAACTCCACAGAAAGGAGTTATTCCAATGACTTTGAAATTTCACAGTTTGACTGTATTTTCCTAGTAGAATATACTTGACAGATTTAAAAAATGAACACGTTTTAAATTGTTTTTTATTAACCATAATGTTAGTGCAGTAGTGGCACTGGTGTTCTGAAACTATTTTGTGTGTGTTGTGAGTTAAATGAATAATCATGTTTGTATTATTCAGAAAAGGGATTTTTGGTATAAAAAGAAAGGTAGTGACATTATAAAATCCATGAGATAAGATGGAAATCTTCAAGTCCTGAATTTGAATTAAAGTTTCATGTTAAATTATGTTATTTTTACTAAACACATACACACAGACACACACACACACACACACACACACACACACACACACACACAATTTTCCAGTTCTGACCACAGAAACAAAAGCTCACCTAGTAACAATCAGTATCCAAAGCTCCCAGTTGTGGTTTCTAAATACCACTTTGCACTGAAATGAGCCAGGGCTTCTTACTAAAAATGGCTGATTGCAGTCCTAGGGCGGGACTGCAGGATCACCCTATAACATCTCATACAGAAGCCAGAGGGCCATCAAAGACCACCAGGCTATATTGAAAGGATGCAGGAGTCAACTTGAAAAATCTCCTTGCCTGAAGTAGGGAAATTAGGAAATTACAGGGACAATAATTGGGCTAGAATAAAACAAATCAAAATGTTTATAGTCATTGTTAAAAGGTAAAAACCTAATTGGTTTGGAAGATACTAGATGGAAGAGGTTAAATGACCAATTCAGTGTTTTGAAGATCAACAATAAAGGAGGGAAAATCCAGCTCTGTCAATCCCTCTATAAACTATAATTTAGAGTTAACAAATAGTTGATGAGATGAAATTTCTCTGGTTGAAGTTCTCAGCTAGTAAATTAAGAAGAAATTAATATAATTAGGATATAACCAGTTGGTAACCTCTGGTGAAATCATGGATCCTCTAGGCAAAAGGTACACATGGATAACCTCATGGCAAAAAATGTTATCTGCCTACTGATAGAAGAGTATCCCATGAAGTAAGTAAAAAAAATGCCCCCCACTCCACCTCAAAGATGTTCATGTATAATCTCAGAACCCATGAATATACAACATTACATGGAAAAAGGGAACTGAGATTGCAGATAGAATTACAATTACTGATCAGGTGATCTTAAAATGGGGAGATTATCCTGGATTATCCAGATATGCCCAATGAAATCACAAGCGTCCTTGAAAATGGAAAAAGGATGCAGAAGATTTAGTGTCAGAGTGATTTTATGTGAGAAAAACTCAGTCAGCCACTGCTGACTTTGAAGATGGAAGTGCGGCCATGAGCCCAGGAGCCAGAAAGAGGAAGGAAATGGATTCTCCCTTTAGAGCCTCCAGAAGAGGACATAATTAGCCCATTGTGTCCTCGTCAGACTTCTAACACACAGAAATGTAAGATAAGTAATTGGTGATGTTTTAAACCATTTAGTTAGTTGTGTTATTTGTTACTGTAACAATAGAAAACTAATATACCCCATTTCCTAGGATATATTCTTTCTAGAAAATTACACCTGAATCTGATCAAGCCTCTTGATGTAACTATTTAGGGGAAACATAACAAACAGAGGAACACATTATGTGATATTATGGAAATGTTCAGCAAAACGTAAACTCTGGGAAATTCTATCTTTAAAATGACATTTATCAAATAAAGTGTATGTGTATATATTTATGTATGTGTGGCCGTATGAGAGAAAAACTGACTGACTGGACATTTTAGGAAATGACCTATTACTTTATGTAGCAAACAATTGCTGTAACGAACTTAATTCAAATCAGCAAATTATAGAAAGAAAAAGCATATTAGTGAAATTTGAACATTGACACTGGGTGTTTGATATTAAGGAATGATTGTTACTTCTGGAGTATGTGTGTGATAATGGGATTGTGATTACATTTAGACAAAGAAGAGGAGTGTAGGTTGCTGTAATGGATAACAGTAGCCATAAATGGATAATTGTTGAAGATGAGTGAGGTACATATGTGTTTGCTATCTGTTCTTTCTACTTTTGGATATACTATTTCCATTACAAAATATTAGCAACTAAATTGACTTTTTTTTTTAATATTAGCAACGAACTTGACTCTTTAAATGTTTTGTGACTCAAACACACGTGTCCAAAGTCTGGATTTAATCAACAGACTGCCAGTTTGAACTCTCTGTAGAGTTTTGGGAATAGAATCTTTCACTTTTCCTGGAGAATTATCCTTTTCCCTCCTCCTACTTACCTTCTCCCTCCATTCTTTCTGTGCTGCCTAGCAAAAATGGCCTCCCCGATCTGTGTATGTGAATGACTAGGAGGCATTACAAATTGCTTGGAATATAATTTTCTTAGAATGAGTAAAAGAGGTAATACGCATAACTGCACTGAAAATACCTCCTAGTATTTTACGTGTTCTTTGGATACCCACCCTCATTCCACACCTTCAAAAAAAAAAAAAAAGAAGAAGGCAGTAACTTTCCATTTTTGACAGCCTGAGGTATTTTGAAATTTTGGCTGATCATATCTTCCTTGTGATCTCTGTGTTCTATTTCAGGATGGAATGGGAAACTTGAGGATCACAGAAAAAGGTCTAAAGCTAGAAGGAGACTCCGAATTCTTACAACCTCTCTACGCCAAAGAAATCCAGTCCCGACCAGTAAGTTTCTGCTGAAAGAAGGCATTATTGTTGCTCTAGAATCTAAATCTGGAGGAATTGATCTTGCTATCAGCTGAGTACAGAGGATTGGGGTGGGAAGTAGTACTGGTAGTAAGATGAACTCACTTTCACTTCTGAATCTTCAAGTATCATCACAGCATTGGTGCTGTCGGCAAGTGCAATGACCTCTCTGAGCCTCTTTTCATTCCTGCTGACTAGAAGGTAACAACCCCTGCTACCCAACTTTATAAATTGTACTGCAAATAAGGCAAGACAGTAAATGTGGAGAAGCCATAAATACTGTAAGAATGCAAGATAATATTGCTCTTTATTTTATTCATCAAGTGCTTTAAAGCCATTTTTAGAAACAGAACTAAAGAACTAGAATTTCGATTTTCATTAAGACTACACTATGTAGACAGTGTTGGTTAGAATCAGTTCAATGTCAAGCTGAGTGCGGTGGCTCACTCCTGTAATCCCAGCATTTTGGGAGGCCAAGGTGGACAGATCACCTGAGGTAGGAGTTTGAGACCAGCCTGGACAACATAGTGAAATCCCGTCTCTACTAAAAATATAAAAAAATCGCCAAGTGTAGTGCTGGGCACCTGTAGTTTCAGCTATGGGGGAGGCTGAGGCAGGGGAATTGCTTGAACCCAGGAGATGGAGGCTGCAGTGAGCCGAGATCATGCCACTGCACTCCAGCCTGGGTGACAGTGAGACTCCATCTCAAAAAAAAAAAAAAAAAAAAAGGAGAGAGAGAGAAAGAATTCAATATCAGTAGCTACATTCTGAAATGGTATTTAAATCATCAAGACAGAATATATACCCTGCTGTAGGCATATTGCTGCTTTGCATGCAGTATCATTATCTAATTTAGGCTCACAGATTTATCCACTGGGGTGGGGACTATTGTTGCCTCTATTTTATAGATTAAAGAATTGAGGCTTGGAGAAGTTTCATGTCAAAAGCTTCATACTTGTAGCTTGTAGCAGGACAAAGATTTCAAGCCTTCACTGTTAACTGTTATTTCCTTCCTAAGCTTTTCTTTCATTCCTTCTTTCCCTTTTAATTGCTGTAGCAGTGATTCCTACATATCTTGCCTTTGTTAACCACTGTTATCCAAATTTTGTGGGGTATTTTTTAGTGGTTTTGATTTTTGATTGGTTGGTTTCATTTGCTTAGTTTTTGTTTTTGGTTTTTAGTGGGGTGGTAGAATTTGTTGGTTGAAAAGGATTATTAATGCATTTGCTCTGCCTCGGATTGATCCCCCTTCACCTGCCAGCAAGGCATAATGTGAAAGTTCCCCCAAAGCATTACTTGCATTGTGTGCATTGATTAGCATAATTATTGAAATTCAGCAACTTGGTGCAGTGGTTAATTTTATCTGAATGTTATCCAAAGTATTGAATTGTATTGAACTGGAGCCACTACTAAATTGCAATTAAGTTTATTTTCTTGCGTGCTTAGTAAAAGAGAGAGAGCCAGGATGTTAAAAGCATCAAAGATAGCAAATGAATTTAGCCATACAATGATTATTTATAAAATGTAACTGGAACCTATAGCACATTGGCTTGGGTACTTAAAGTATGCAGAGAATTATGAACATATTTACTGTCATTGAGAAACCTATACCCTAGAAGGAGTAATAAGATGACCCTGTAATGTGGAGAGTCAGATGATAATTCTGCCTTGGAATGAACTGAGACAGTTTTAAGTATTTTAAAAATACCTGTTATATGCATTGCTCTTAATTTGTATCTTGTTTTCCCAACCTGGCAATTTGGTTAGTTGTCATAGAGCTCTCTCTAGTTGAACTTCAGATTAATAGTCTTACCTGTATTACACTTGTTTAACTCACTAGTTCAGTTTTGTCATTTCCTTCTATGAATGTTGAGATACCTTTTCTGTAAAGGGCCAGAAAGTAAATATTTTAGTTTTATCTTAAAGTTTGTTTTTTTGTTTTCTTTTTTACAGCTCTTATAAACAGCATTCTTGGTTTGGGAGTCACACAAAATTAGGCCACAGGCTGTCATTCACCAACCCTTCTAATCTTTATTAGGAATAATTCCATAAATTATATAAATGCTCTTATTAGACTGGATGTGGTCAAAGGAGTAGATTTGAAGAACATAAGGAAAATAGTTGATATGTGTTGAGTAAAACACCCTGAAATAAGATTCCTTGGCATAGAATTAGTCATGTCAAGATATTGAGAACTGTGTTTTAAAAGACTTGAAAACAGGGTACTGGGTGCATCTGTTGAGTCTATATGCAGGAATTGGACGTCTAGCAAATGTGTTAGCCAGCCTAGCTGGAAATTGACAGACAGCTGATCCCCACTGAGAGACACACCTGCTTATAAGCTTAAAAAGTAATGATTACTTACTTGTATATTTACTTACTTTAATATTAAAATATATGAGTTATATGCAATGCTTTCAAATCACTGCTTAAAGAAAATAAGCTCTCAAATGCACTGTTTTCCATTGTTTTTAATAACTTTTTTAAAAAATAAATATTACAGTTTTATAGCCTAATATGTTTCTAATAACAAAATAAATATCTTCTAACTGAAGGAAAAAAGACACACAGATATGCATACGTAACAAAATACCTGAGTCATGGGAGCTCTACCTGAAACTTGTGCCCAAATTCATTCACTCTTCTGCATCGCACTCACACACCATGCCCTAGGTCAAGCCACCGTCCGTTCTCACCTACACTACTGCAATCGTCTCTTCACTGTCTGTTGCCTTATGCTTTTGTAACTCATTATCCAAATCATAGCTAAAGTAGTCTTCAAAATGTCAAGTCAGTCTACCTCTTTGCAAAGGATTTCCCATTGATTTCCTATTGCATCTGAAATAAAATCCGAAGTCCTCACTAAGGCCTATAAAATACAGAAAATAGATATTTTCACTGAGGGCTCCTTCTGGTCATCTTTGTATCAGCTCAGATGTCACCTATTTAGAAAGACCTCTTTCACTCAATCAGTCTTTAGCACAATAGCCGTATATAAACAGCACATTGGTTTTTATTCCTTATAACTGTCATTCTTTCACATTTTTATTTGTTTATATGTTTAGAGGATCAGGTGATTGTCTGGATTTTCCCCACTGTATTCCTCAGACCTCTTGCTGTGCCTAGCACATAGTATGTGCTCAGTAGATGTTTGAGAAACTGAGCCCGTGAATCACTGAAAATGAATATGTCTCTTAAATCTATTCTGCAGAGGCAAGCACTGTTAACAATTTACTGTTTTATCAAACATTTTCCATGGATATGTATTTTTTAACAAAACCATACTTTGCATGCTGTTCTGTACTGAGGCACTGATGGTCTCCTGATTATAACACCATGTGTAATTTTACTATACTTTCTTCATGTTTAGATAGACAGATGCTTCCCATTGTGTTCCAATTGCCTGCAGTATTCAGTGCAGGAACATGCCATACAGGTTTGTAGCCTAGAAGGGAATAGGCTATACCATATAGCCTAGGTGTGTAGTAGGGTATACCATCTAGGTTTGTATATGGACACTCTATGATGTTCACACAATGATAAAATCACCCAAAGACATATTTCTTGTAATATATACTCATCAAGTAAAGCGTGACTGTATTATTTTTTATATCTTACATTAAAAATTTTAACACCTTTCTTGTACTTCTGATAAGTTACAATCTGATAAGTTATAAAATATGTCTATGCACGTGAAACCACCAGAATCAAGATAACAAATGTATCCATCATCCTTGAGAATTTCTCCTTGCCCCATTTTAATCCCCACGTCCTGCTGCATCCATCCTACTTTGCCACCTGTGTTCATTTCCTAGAACTTTATATAAATGGCATTATATAGTAAGAGTATCTAAATAATTTTAACAATAAATTGTCAGTTTTTAGAGATCTTTTTAAAAAACATCTATTTAATGTCTAACTTAAAGAAGAATATGATTTTTTTT